CACCGGCCTCGCTCCCCGACGCCCTGCTGGGAACTACGCTGTACTTGGACTGGAGGTCTCCTGCGCCTCGAAGGTGGGCGTGGGAGTGACCAGGGATCTCCCAGTCCGCCACCCCACCGTTCTCAGGATGCACGAGCCTTTGGTCTTTGGAGACACCAGGCACACCCCAATCAGAGGGCAAAAGGGCACAAGCCTGAATCCAGAGCTCAAGGATCCCACATGCCAAGACTCCACCTCGAGAGCTGGTCCTCCCTTTCCTGAGGCTCACGGTCCCAGGAAAGAACTTCAAAATGCAGGTCTGCAGTCCTATACTGCACATACAATGTCCTCCCAGGTGGCTGATCGTCTGGGGGCAGAGAAATCTCCGGCAGTCTCATGCGGAGTCCCTCTCGGCACCATCAAAGACTGCCCGGCTCACTTCAGGGGCATGCCATCAGCAAGGCCCTTGCACCCGTCGTACCCGGGACCCCGCCATCCTCCCACTCGGCCTTTCCTGACCCCCACCCGGGGGGTAGGGGGCTCTTCCAGCTCTAGGTTTCACTCAGAGCTTGTGCCCAGCTCACACACCATTTACGTCATCTTTCACCCCTCACGACCACCAGCCCCAGGACAGCAAAGGTCAGGACAAGCTGATGCCTGATATGATTGGCTGATGGCTGTCAAGCAACATCTAGAATGAATGCTGGCCCTGGCCATTGATCCCCACATTCTAACCACCACCCTCAAGCTGGGCTCTTTGGCCCACGCCTGGAATCCCAGCACTTTGGGAAGTGGAGGCGAGACGATTGCCTGAGCCCAGGCGTTTGAGACCAGCCTGGGCAACATAGCGAGACCTTGTCTCTACCAAAAAAAAAAAAAAAAGAAAAACAATTAGCTGGGTGTGGTGGTGGTGCCTGAAGACCCAGCTACTCGGTAGGCTGAGGTGGGAGATGACCTGAGCCCAGGAGGTTGAGGCTGCAGTGAGCCGTGATAGTGACACTGCACTACAGACTAGGTGACAGAGACCCTGATTCAAAATAAAAGCACCATCCTCGGTCAACTCCAGCTCAACGCTAACTCCCACCACAGGCACCTCCACCTTTCATTCTATCCCAAGGACTGGGGTGACCCCCACAAGAAGTGACCCATCTGGGATAGGCCCTGTGGGGTCGCACTGGGACGGCACCCACAGAGGCAGGCGGGCATGGACCCTCGCCATCAGCCCCAAGAAATGAGGGGTCAGCAGGCCAAGTGGTTAAATAGTTAATAAGATTACCAACAGTGTGTTAATTACAAATAACAAGGGAGGAGCTAGAGGTGGCGACTTTTCCAAATGGGAAACCAGGATCCACAGCCCCAAGGCCCAGGGGTCCGGCCACCCAGGCGGGGCAGCTCCGAAATAAATAATGGGCTTGGGGGCAGGGGGTCAGGGCTGCTCCTGCTTCTTCTTGATGGAAATGCGCTTCTTTCTTGCCGCCAACATCTCGTAGAAGGGGTCCACGCTCACAGCTGCCCTGCGAAGGGGAGAGATCCCAGGATGAGGTCTCCAGGAGTCCAGGCCCCAGCCCCTCTTCCCTCGGACTCGGAAGTCCGGCCCCCAATCCCTCCCCGAGACCAGAAGTCCCTCCCTCGGACCCGGGAGCTGACTTCCAGCCCTTCCCCCCCTCGGACCCGGGAGCCCAGGCCCCGGCTCACTGGATGGACTTGATCCACTCGTCCTTCTCCTCCTGTGTGGGGGCCGAGATCCGGTACACCATGTGGTTCCCCTCAACCACCCGGCCGTCTGCCTCTGTTTTGCAGGCTTTGATGAGCTGCCCCTTGTTGTTGGGAATGTAAAGCTCAAAGCAGTTCTGGGGAGACAGAAGACGGACAGTGGTAAGAGCCAGCCTGGAGGCAGACGAGGCCCCACCTTGGCAGGAAGGGGAACAGAGAGAGGCTTACGGGTTTCCGGGGATCATCCACCTCTCGGATGCTCAGATTCTCCAGGGGGATGATTCCTCGGGGTTCCTTGTCCTGAAGAAGCAGGTTGGACGGAACTCAGACTTCCAAATCCTGACCCCAGTCTCCTCCCTCAGACCCAGGAGTCCAGGCCTCCAGTCCCTCCTCCCAGGACCCCAGAGCCCAGCCCAGTCCCCCCTCACCGTCGTGTACTCAAAGTAGTAGAGGCAGTTGTCTGTGAGGATGAACCAACGCCGCTTCCATGTCTTCACCCGGCCCCCTGAAAGGGAAGGGGCGGGAGGGGGCCTGGGCTCAACAGGGGGACAGGGCCTCTGGGAGGGAGGGGATGGGGGTGAGAGGCAGAGCAAGCGCAGAAAAGGCGGGCTCTGGGACAAAGCCGATGTGTGGGGAGAGACAGACACGCAGGGATAGGGTTGGGCCCCAGGAATTGGTCCAGCCCGGCTCGGGGCTCCACACATTCTACGCCCGTCAGCCCAGGCCAAGAGCCCGAGACCCAGCCCCCTCCTCCCCGTGGGCCTGAGGCCAGGGCAGCCCCCCTCGTCTCAGGTTGGACGGGTTGGGTAGTGTACCTACCTCCTGGGGCAGACAGCGAGAAAGCAGGCAGGACCAGGTGCAGGAGAAGGGAAGGCAGGAGAATGGGGTGCCCCCGAGGGCCGCAGGTGACAGAAATGGGGCCAGGGGAGGAATGCGCAGGGCGGGACAGAGACAGAAATAGAGAGAAACACGCAGAGAGGGAGGGAGGGAGGGAGGGAGAGAGAGGGAAGAAAACCAGTTACATCCACATGAGGGAGGAAAGGCTAGAGCCCCTCCCGCCCGGGGTGGCCAAAGGCCCTGAGCCCATGGCGGCAGCCTTGAACACCCCTTGCATGGGTGCTGGGTGCCAGTCACCCCCAGGACTTGCCCCAGGCCAGGAAGGCCCTCCCCTTTGATCAAAATGCCTTGCCCATGCAAGGGAGAAGGCAAAATTCCCAGTCCATGGCCTGAGGCGGGCATGGGGGCTCATCTCAGCTCCAGCACACACTGGCTGTGTGAACCTAGGACTCTCTCTTGCCCTCTCTGGACTCCAGCCTGGAGACTCACTTGGGTTCACACTTGCCTGTGCAGATGACCTGCTCCGGGCTTCCTAGTGGGCCCAGGACCGAGTAACAGTAGTAATGGCCTTCCATCAGTCCTCGCTGTAACAAGACTGTCACAAACCCCTGTGCCTGCCCTGTGTTCTAACATTTTAAGGAAGAGAGGCCTTTTCCTAGCTGCCACGAAGGGCAGGGATGTTGGTCCCAGCCTTGGACTATGGTTGCTGGATTGTGACTGAGCCTCTGTTTCCGAAGCTGGGAAATGGGAAGAATCCCCAATGAGGCAGTTTGGAGGGCAGCAGCTCCTTGGGAAGCTGCCCTTCCTGCTTCTCTTTGCAGTAACTAGAGATGAAGTCTTGCTGTGTTGCTCAGCTTAGTGTCAAGCTCCTGGGCTCAAGGGCTTCTCTGGTCTCAGTCTCCCAAGGTGCTGGGATTACAGGTGTGAGCTACTGCGCCCGGCCCCCGCCTCTTTGCAGCCCAGGGGCACCTCGAGGAATCTAACCCCCCCATCTCCCCGTGCCATCTGCCTCTGTAGGACCCTGTGAGGCTCTGGACCAGGCGCTGGCTGGAAAGCAATCTACATTCTTTATACACACCAGGAAGCCCTTGCCCCTGCTGAGGAAGCGACACCCTGGTGAGAGCACAGCTCCATGGGGGGAGGCCCCCAAGACCACCCTCAAGAAGCCTGGCCCTGACCTCCTTCCCTGAGCTGGAAGCTTTCTCTGGGCCCTCCTGCTGCCACAGGAAACCGCCTCCTCGGTCAAGGGGAATCCCTCATCAGAACCATTTGCTGCCTCTCCATGACCAACTACAGAAACCCGCAGGAGGCGCCACTGTCAGCAGCTGGCTCAGAGCCAGTGGCTCTCGACCTTGGCTAAGGCTGGAAGCGCCCAGGAGCTTTCCAGATGATGGACCGCCCGGCTGCCCTCCCGCCCAACAGCCGGACGTCAGGAGCCTGTGGCCTGGCCGCTGGAGTGAAGCCCCCAGGCAGACAGGGTGAGAACGACTCCAGACCTCATGACGACCCCCACGGGACCCTGTTAGGTCCCTGCTTGCTGACCCTGACCTTGCTGGTGCCACGTGTAAGAGGAGGCCCAGAGGAGGCCCATCCTCCTCCCATCCCAGCTGGACTCCAGATGCACCGAGTCATCTGGGTCATTTCCTCCCCAGCTAGGAGCCATCCAGGCAGGAGAGAAGACCCCAGGGAATCTAGGTGTCCTTGCTGGTGTAGACTCTTCTCGGTCTTTGGGAGTTTGGGGACAATGCGGCACCAGGACAGCCACTGTGCTACGAGCCTGATGATGTGGTCAGCAAACAGGGGCAGATGCGACAGTCCTGGAGAACAGTCAGTCCTACCCTGGGCCCGAGGGGATAGCAGGGCCCCAGGGGTTTGATGCCCTCTTCCAGCAAAAACAGAGTGTCGCCTGGTTCCCATAGCCTTCTCAGCAGCTGCATCAGGGCTGCACAGACACTGTGGATGAGGAAGAGGGCTCCAGGAGCATCACTGTGGGCCAGGCCTCCACTATAGGCCTGGTCTTGTTTTTAGCCCCATTTCGCAGATGTGGAAACTGAGGTCCAGACAGGTTAAATTGCTTGCCTCAGGTGACACAGCAGGTGTGCGTGGAAGCTGAGTCCGGAGCTCAGGCCCATTAACTTCCCCTGCAGAGAGAGCTGGAGCCAGGGGGTTGGGGGGACGTACCCAGCTTAAGGAGCCAGCCCTCCCGGTCCGGGTTGAAGAAGGTGTGGGTCAGGTCATTCCCGTCGTCCTCAGGGATCTTGAAGGGCTCGTTTCGGATGCTGTCGTAGAGGTTCTGAGGAGCAAAGGCCAGGTCAGCAAGTCGAGGGCCCTGGGGTCCTCCCGGGGCTACTTGGGAGCAGTGAGACCACGGGTGGGATGACCTATGGTGGGAGACAGGCGCAGGCTGAGGGAGGGAGGAGAAGGCAGAGCAGCAGAGGGACCCCAAGAAGAGAGGAAGGAAAGGGTGCACAAGCCACAGTGGCAGGAGGGCTTAATTCGCAAACAGAGACGGAGAGGGAATGAGGCAGATCAAGACCCCCAAAGAGCCAGAGGACCAAAGAAAGATAGGCCAAGAAACTGAGGGCCAGACGCTGGGGGAGACAGAAACTGAAAGACAGCAGCAGCCCGAGAAAGAAAGAGAAAAAAGAAACGCAGGAGTGGGCACGATCTTGGGAGGCGTAGGCCTCAGTGGCCCCAGGTGGTGGCTCAGGCCTGGAGACTCCCAGGGGCGTGGGGTGTTTGTGGCAGGAAGAGAGAGTGAGGGGCTGAGGGGCAGGGAAGGGGGCCTGACCCTGAGCAGCTCCTCGGGCAGGTCCCCGCCCTCGTTGATGCCCCGGTTCATGGCCACAAAGCGCTCCAGGCCCGGCTTGTCCCGCACGTTGGGATTGTGGAGGCTGGTGTTCAGCATGATCACGGCGAAGGACAGCACGTAGCACGTGTCTGCGTGGACAGGTCAGGGGGTGAAGACCCAGGTGTCGGCTCTGGCCCCTCCTCCCCAGGGCCCAAGCCCCCGGCCCCTCCTTCCTCAGACTCAGGAGTCCTGCCCCCCAGTCGCCGCCTCCTTCAGACCCAGATGTGTGCCCCAGCCTCCTCTTCCCCAGGGACCAGGAGTCCAGGCCCACCTGTGGACTGGAAAACCCCAGGGTTGCACAGGCAGTACCGCTGGGCGAAGGCTTCCATCATCCGGTCAATTTTCTGGGCCTCTCCAGGGAGGCGAAAGCTCCATAGAAATTGCCTGGGTTAGAGAGGAGCTGGGTGTGAATCCAGGGCTGTTGGACTCCCCTCCCCACTCTCAGGCTTGCATTAGGAACTGGTGGTAAGAACCCCAAACCTCTTGGCCTCAGCCAATGGTTTGGGTACAGACACGTGATCCAACTTGACCAATGAGTACTGGTCATGGGACTTGTAGAGGATTTATACAGAAATAGCCTCTTTCTTTCTGCTAAGGTTGCTAAACAGGTCTGGAGGTTGTGAGGGGCTTCTGTTGCCATGCAGGAGGAGGGTCTGCAGAGAGCAATGCCCACACTTAGGTAGTGAGCCTAAGAGACAGAGAAAACTGACTTTCTGATAGCATTTGGGTTCCTGGATACCACT